TTCAGCACTTAGTTCAGCTGTGGCTGGTGTTGAGGTGCTTTATAAATAAAGTTGTTGATGATGATGAAAATACCTGCTTTACACTGCCATTTTTAACAGAAAACAATGAAGCTGCAGAATAATCTTCTAAATCTGATTGATTTTGATCATTTGAATAAATCCTGGTCTAACCCTAACCCCCCTGGTCTGCATGATCAGTTGGAGTCAAGTAACTGTAATTGAGCAAAAACCATCTGGATTAAGGATTAATCACAGTTTGTCTTCATTTGTTTTGATAATGTTTTATATTTCATAGTGGGGGCTAAATTTGTGATGTCTGACCTCTGTATTCTTGCGTCACTACAAAGTGAAGTGATATGGAAGCAGGTTAGACAGCTGTGAAGGCTTCATGCCAGACCAGTGTGAACATGTATCTGAAGAGGATCGCGCTCAGTTTCCATCCTTGCATGTCGGAGCCTGAGCAGGATGACGACGCCGACTCTGAAACCTGGAACACCTGGATTCTGGTCTAAAACATGAACTCAGGACTGCTGCATTGTTGCTTTCCTGAGTCATCAACACGGTGCTTGCACAGAATAAAAAAAGAGAACTTAGCTGCAGGTTTCTTCTTCTCCTAACGCCACAGATACACAGCATCTCTTAGCTCTTTGCAGCTTTAATGAGCTGCCAAAACATTACAGTGATATCCTCYAACTTTCTCTTTTTTTCTGCTTCCTATAAACAATCACTACTTCTTTTTGTGTAGAAAAATTCTGTTAGTTTTTGACACTAATAAAGCAAACAATGGCTCAATCAGACTGTTTCCAGCAGTAGAAAATCCCAACTCTTTTTATTATGTTGTTTATGTTGTCAAAGTGCCTAGGAGCTCTTACATCTCTATATTCATTTATGTGGTGTACAATATGCCACAAAATAAATAGTATGATTTGCTATTTAAGAATGTAGTACTGTATTTTTCCTGTAGGTGGCAGTAAATTAATACTGAGATGTTTCAGCCTTAGGTGTGACAGATTACTTACATATGTTTTAATATTTTTTTTCAATATGCTTTCTGGCAGAATGAAATGTAATGGGATTTATTTATTTATTTATTTATTTATTTATTTATTTATTGTGCTTCCTAAAACCATATCCCAGTTAGAAGGCCTGGCCCCACTTTAGAGCATTTCTGCAAAAGTTTCTGGAAAGATTCACAGCTTCTAATATTAATATTCAATTGATCCAAAATGCAGGGCTCTGACGGCAGATTTAACTGAGCTGTTTGGCACTTTGTAAAGTAGATAAGCGAAGTTAAAACATATAGTTTGTATATGTGAGGGGGTACTTTGCTACAAAGTAAAGGAAGTGCTGCTCCTCAGGAAAATGAAGCCCTTTTCTTCTCTGGGGATAAATAAACCATCTCAAAGGAAGGGGATGTGGTTGTGATGTGTTTGTTTTTGTTTTGTGCCATTTTAGGAGGGTGGAGATAACCTGAGTGTGAACCGCAGGGCAAAGGAGACTAAAAAAAAGTTCTAGTTCAGAAACACAATGTAATGCTGTGAGTTCACCGCGCTGCCTCCAGGGTTTTTGAGGTTGTAATGTAAACTTGGCATAAACACATGAGGTGTTTGGGGTTATTGAAATTCCAGGCGTATCTTTGCAGCCCACCCACACATGGAACTACTGGGCCGTGCCCACAACGTGACTCCCAGACTAAAACCTCTGGGAACTCACTCAGATGCTGACTTCAGTCTTTGAAAAGAAAATAAGTCATTAATATGGCAACAGTTTTACTTTTGTTCTTGAAACTTTTCTATGAAACTTTTTGTTGTTTAGGGCTCGTGATGCTTTTTTTTTTTAAATKACAGGTTTAACTCACACATCAGCAGGAAACAGCTACTTCCTTTCAGTTCAGTCCAGTTGGTATCATGCCTGTCCTGATGGATGTGGGGGTGTGMTGCAGCAGTGGTCCACCTCTGGACAAACAATCATTCACACACAAACACACACACCTCCCTATAGGGCCTGGGTGTGAAAACACCAGCGGCTGTGGACCTAACCTTCACTCCACGGAGGCTCTTCAGATGAGATGCCAGCTCCTCCTGAGCTCCTMGGAGCCACGGTGCTCATGTCTTCGTGTGAAAGGAGAACCTCAGCTGGACTCTCCGTCGATTAAAGTTAGCTTTGATGTTCTGAGCTCAGCTCCACCCAGCACATGCTGCTAACAGCGTGAAAGTGCTGYGGTGGTAAAAGTGGTGTAATTCGGAGTTTTACTTTCCTTAAAGCAGCCACGTGCTGCAGGTGCTGATGCTGCCCGAGTCCAGCAATAACAGGACTGTTTTGACCTGTAAACTCTAAATCACAGAATTTATTGCGCAATTGCTGCTTTAACAAACACACAAATATCCGGAATTTAAGTTTAAATAATGTCATCGCTTAAAACGTCAAACAGTTGGGGTCAGCAGTGTTTTTGCAAAAATATTTTGTGAACTCCAGGACAGATTTGAACGAAGTTCTCAGAAACTAACAACTTGATGTTTAAACACTATTGTGGAACTTTTCAGGTCAGTTTAATTTAAAATGTCTGCCACAGTTATGCAACTTCAGCTGCCACAGAAATGTTTATAACTTCATGTGTTTTGGAAATCCTGAGCTAAAATTTGACAGTGTAGTTGCTGAGGCTCATCCCCAACCAGAGGCATTTAAAGTATTTGGAAAAAATAACTAAGTAAAAGTACCTTAGAGAAAAGTACCTTACCTTAAAATGACTGATAAGAAAAGTACTCAAAGGTAACATGTTATGAAAAATTAACTTTTTTAGCTGTTTGTTACATTTTGTTCTGTACTTGGAGCATGGTCGGTGTGATGCACCTTGTTTGGATTTAAAGAGACAGCTTTAAAACGAGTTGATCTGAGACACAACTCAGAAAAGGGGGTGAAAGTGGGGCTTGTGGAGTTACAATAAGAAGGAAGTCAGACCAAAGCATTGGCCCTAACCCCAAATGAATGATTAAAATGTGACAAAGAAGATTTTAAAAGCTTGGTATGTCTCCTTTAAATAAAAGTCATAAAACTGCTCTCAATAACTGGGAAAGTAAAAATACTTATACACACTCTAAGAAATGTTGAATTTACTTAACCAAGTTATGTCAGCTGGTTCCACTAAACTGAGTTGAGTAAAATATTTTATATTTGTTTAGCTCATTTTAATGGAACCAGCTGACGTAACTTGGTGAAATAAATTCAACACTTCTCTTTCACGATGAGTTCTGGTCATATTT